AAAAAAAAAAAAAAAAAAGAAACCCTGGTTGCTTATAGGTCAAGTATAACACCAGTGTAACTTTTCCCCTCTGCTACTACCGAACTCTCTTAGCATTATCAGAACTCTGCTGGCTAAAGGTAAAAAGTATTCCATTTCCTTAGTTTCTAAGCCTTGATATAAGTCTTTCAATAAGGATTCCATTCATGATAATGGTCCCAGGGACATAAACATGTTGCCAGGAAACAGACCTCTGATACATCCCGGGCATTAGTTGCCACTAGCAGCTACTTTCTTTAGGCCACATGTCTTATAACGAGTTACAATCTGAGCATTGTGACACCAGACTTTTCCAGGGCAGCAGACTGATGTCATAAACATAATGGTACTAAGCACTCTAAAGAGCTCATCAGCTCCACCCTACACTCCCTGTGTGAAGGGGCAAATTATCCGCACTCTCTAGGTCTCAGTTTCCCCATGTACTAATAAAGAGATAATGGGTTCTACTTAAGATTCTGTGGGAATTAGATTGTCCATGAAAGCACTCCCGCAGAAAACCCAATTACTGTTTTCAAATCAAAATGAAGGGAAGACTATAAACCTAAAATATTTTCACATCTTCAGGACTTTTAGTAATACCATAACTTATTTTTGACTATTGTCCTTCCAAAGGGAAATTTCTGAGAAAGGCAGAAAGATGAGAAAATGAGGATCCACTTCATCATAACCTTTAGATTCGACAATTCCACAAATATCTACAGTGAAGACGCGCTTTCTGATCTTTCTCAGCATCCCAAAATCACAGCCTTAATTTCTACATTAACCTTTCCTAGAATATGGGAGCTAGCAAAGGGAAAATACTTCAATACTTCTTCCCAAGATGTCCTCACCAGAAGCAATCATTTCTTTCCTGCCTCTGTGCACTTCCAAATATACTGAATCTTCTTTAAAAAAGAGAAAAAGGGGAAAAAAAGGGCTCAGTCACAAAAGCTGGTCTTCAAAGTCTCCAGTTTCCTTACTGCAGAACTACAGTCATGTACTATGATGGAGGCACCTGTCAGGTGGCAATCCGTGAAATTCAAAGTGTTACAAGGAGAATTTAACCTGGGGGGAGGGTTCCCACCTCACTTTTTTTTTTTTTTTTTGCCTTGACACAAGACGACCAAGTAATAATGCACACTACCCACTGTGAACAGTTTTATCATTTATGTGGAGAAAGAGGGGAATTTGAGAGCCAATTGAGGCAACTGGCTCTCACACTCCCCAAGCCAGGCTGACGAGATTTTGTTGAGTTGACAAGGAAATTTTACAGATCTCCTGAAACGTGTTTAAATAAATGTGAGACCTCAACAGCCTTAGACTTTACCCTAGCCTGGGTTCCGGACTCAGTTTTTACAAATGGGTGACGTGTGAGCAGCTTCCTAAAAGCAAATGGGGCACTGGGATATAATTTAGGAAGTGATGATGCAAGTCTCTGGGGAACAGGGAGGAGGGGAGGTGAAAAAGTCAGAGGAAATACCCTCCTGGTGCCTGGGCACCAACTCATACCTAAGGGGGGAGGAAGGGCTGGCCTCCACATGCCAAAGGAAGGGGGCACCCCTACTCCACCTGGAGGAGCCAACGCCGCCCCCTCGCCCCCCACTGCCCTGCCCCCTCACCCGTGGCCCGGACGGCCCCCGCCGGCCCGAGCGTCAGGCCGGCGAGTCCCAGAGAGTGGCAGCGCACCCCGGGCAGGGCCTTTTCTGCCCAGCCCCAGCTCCCCACACGACACCCCTCCCCGGGACGCGGCCCCTGCCCCCTCCCCGTAGGCCCGGCCTGGGCCCAGCCCCCAGGGTTCCGGCCTCCAGGGCCCCGAGGCCTGCCCAGGCAGCCCCGCGCCCGCGCCCCCGGCCCCCGCCGAGCCCTGGGGGCCCCGCTGTGGCCGAGGCCATGTTCCCCGTGTTCCCTTGCACGCTGCTGGCGCCCCGAGCCCGGGCCCCGCGCGGCCCGCGCCCCCGGCCCCCGCTGAGCCCTGGGGGCCCCGCTGTGGCCGAGGCCATGTTCCCCGTGTTCCCTTGCACGCTGCTGGCCCCCCCCTTCCCCGTGCTGGGCCTGGACTCCCGGGGGGTGGGCGGCCTCATGAACTCCTTCCCGCCACCTCAGGGTCACGCCCAGAACCCCCTGCAGGTCGGGGCTGAGCTCCAGTCCCGCTTCTTTGCCTCCCAGGGCTGCGCCCAGAGTCCATTCCAGGTGAGTAGGGGCCGGCCGTGGCTGGCTGGGCCGGGAGGGCGCCAGCTCGCGCCCGCGGCCCACACGGCGCCTTGTCTCCGCAGGCCGCGCCAGCGCCCCCACCCACGCCCCAGGCCCCGGCGGCCGAGCCCCTCCAGGTGGACTTGCTGCCGGTTCTCGCTGCCGCCCAGGAGTCCGCCGCGGCTGCTGCGGCCGCCGCCGCCGCCGCGGCCGCCGTCGCTGCTGCGCCCCCGACCCCAGCCGCCGCCTCCACAGTGGACACAGCGGCCTTGAAGCAGCCGCCGGCACCCCCTCCGCCACCCCCGCCCGTGTCGGCGCCCGCTGCCGAGGCCGCGCCCCCCGCCTCTGCCGCCACCATAGCCGCAGCGGCCGCCACCGCCGTCGTAGCCCCAACCTCGACGGTTGCCGTGACCCCTGTCGCGTCTGCCTTGGAGAAGAAGACAAAGAGCAAGGGGCCCTACATCTGTGCTCTGTGCGCCAAGGAGTTCAAGAACGGCTACAACCTCCGGAGGCACGAAGCCATCCACACAGGAGCCAAGGCCGGCCGGGTCCCCTCGGGTGCTATGAAGATGCCCACCATGGTGCCCCTGAGCCTCCTGAGCGTGCCCCAGCTGAGCGGGGCCGGCGGGGGAGGGGGAGAGGCGGGGGCCGGCGGCGGCGCGGCCGCAGTGGCAGCTGGTGGCGTGGTGACCACGACCGCCTCGGGAAAGCGCATCCGGAAGAACCACGCCTGCGAGATGTGCGGCAAGGCCTTCCGCGACGTCTACCACCTGAACCGACACAAGCTGTCGCACTCGGACGAGAAGCCCTACCAGTGCCCGGTGTGCCAGCAGCGCTTCAAGCGCAAGGACCGCATGAGCTACCACGTGCGCTCACATGACGGCGCTGTGCACAAGCCCTACAACTGCTCCCACTGTGGCAAGAGCTTCTCCCGGTGTGCACGGGGCCTCGGCCACCCGCTGGGCCGGTGGGGAGGGAGGGACGGCCGCGGAGGTGGCCTGGCCGAGGCTGGCGGGGAGGGAGGCGGCTCTGAGGACGGGGCAGGGTAGCCCCTCCCAGGGAGGAGGGAGGAAAGCCTCTCCCGGTTTCCAGGGAGCAGGGGGTGGGACTCTGCAGAGGAGGTGGGTCTCGGGGCTGACTGAAAGCTTCGTGTGGGAGGAGGCGGCGGCAGCCGGCTCGAGGGGAGGGATTTCCTGCTCGAGTGGCACCGTGAAGGCCCGGGCTCCGGGAGAAAACGCAGGGGCTCTGGCAAAGCCGTTGGACAGAGTTTGGCAGATTTGGGGCACATCTCCTCAGCCCTAACCCCAACCCCAACGTGTCCCCAGGCCGGATCACCTCAACAGTCACGTCAGACAAGTGCACTCAACAGAACGGCCCTTCAAATGTGAGGTAGGAAGTCCGCCTCCTCCTGTCCTGGTTTTCATGATGTTGATCCTCATTGTAGCTGTCTGAGTTCAGCCTCTCAGACCCCCTTTTTCTCTCTCTTCTTTTTGCCTTTTCACTCCATTTTCTCATCCCTTCTTCAAGGCCTCGTCATCTCACTCCCATTTCCTACAGATCAAAGATCCCCAAGGCTCTGATTCCTTTAACCTCTTGCTCCCTGCTCCCCATTCCCCGAAGCTTTAACTCTCCTGTGACACCCCCCACGCCCCTCCCCCCTCCCCAGAAATGTGAGGCAGCTTTTGCTACGAAGGATCGACTCCGGGCGCACACAGTACGACACGAGGAGAAGGTGCCATGTCATGTGTGTGGCAAGATGCTGAGCTCGGCTTATATTTCCGACCACATGAAGGTGCACAGCCAGGGCCCGCACCATGTCTGTGAGCTCTGCAACAAAGGTACATGTTAAGGACTGCTGGGAGGGCAGGGACCAGGGTGGGCACCAGCCAGAGGTCCTTTCACAGTTGCGGGTTAAGGGTGCTGTAGCCAAGAGCTCGTGGCATCTAGAGCCTTTTAGGAGGTAAACACAGCAGCACTGGGAATAACTGAACATCATTAAATTCTAAGAAGTTACAGCCAGAGGAGAAGATCTACCAGAAAGATGAACCTGTTGGGTGTGCATGGGACAATGGGAGTGGGGCACAGCTGCTTTGGGGAAGGGAATAGTCAAGATAGCCAGTTCCCAAGAGTCAGAAGGCTAGGTTTCAGCCGTGCAGCCACAAGTTCTTGTCTCCAGCTCTTGGGGCAAATGGAGTGCCTTAGCAGGGGGTTAGCAAGCAAGCAGCCTGCCCAGGTAGAAGATAAAGCTGCTCTTAAACAGGCTTACATATTCACTGAGTAACTGGGCTGAGACTCTGGGGCACTGGAGGGAGGGGACACAGCCGGCTCTGCTGAGGGTCAACTCTTCAAGGGGCTAGGAATCAGTGTCCTGTCATCCCAGGCGAGATCTCCAGCTGTGGAGAATGAGCTCTGTAGGTACCAAGGCTGAGAAGCAGGCACCACTCAAACCAGGCCCCAGCTCAGGGAGGGGCTGTGCCCCCAACCTGCCCCAGCAGAGTAGTTGGCCCCAAGCTACCAAGGATGTGGTGGGAGGAGGACAGGGCCATTTGAGGAGGGCGTCCCCAGCCTAGGAGAACAGCCCCGTCTCTGGGGTCTCCGCCTGGCTGACCCCCATCCCCATCCCAATCCACCCCCCCCAATAGGCTTCACCACAGCAGCATACCTGCGCATCCACGCGGTGAAGGACCATGGGCTCCAGGCCCCGCGGGCTGACCGCATCCTGTGCAAGCTGTGCAGCGTGCACTGCAAGACCCCTGCCCAGCTGGCCGGCCACATGCAGACCCATCTGGGGGGGGCCGCCCCCCCTGTCCCGGGAGACGCCCCCCAGCCACAGCCCACCTGCTGAGGGGGACCCCTGCACCCACCAGGCAAGGCGTGGGGCATGGCTGGGGGGCGGGATGGGGCGTGTGGGACAAGGGGGCTCAAAGGGCCCAATAGGGGATCTCAGGAAGGCCAGGGATGCCCATCTATCACTCAGCTTAGGGGACAGGGAGGGCCCTTCAGGAGAACTCTGATTAAGGATGCAGGCCAAAGCCTCTGGGGACCACATTAGAATTGAGCAACGGCTGTGTCCCAGGGGAAGGAGTCTGGGGTAAGGGGCGAGGCTCTTGCCGTTCAGATTGCGCTGTGATCTCGTGTTTCTCCCGGTGCAGGTACTGGTGAAGTTTGTCCAATGGCGGCAGCGGCGGCAGCAGCAGCGGCAGCAGCGGCGGCAGCAGCAGCAGCAGCAGTGGCAGCCCCTCCCACAGCTGTGGGCTCCCTCTCGGGGGCTGAGGGGGTGCCTGTGAGCTCTCAGCCACTTCCCTCCCAGCCCTGGTGAGCTCCAAGTTGGTGGGGGAGAGGGGAGAGTGGAGGAAAGTCACTTGGTACAGTCTCCTCTTCCCCCTCTTTTCTCATCGATTCCTCACTACTTCCCCCACCAACCAAGGAGCCTCCAGAAGAAAAGGAGGAAGAAATGTTTTCTTAGGGGAATTCACTAGGTTTTAACGATTTGTTTCTCCTGCTCCTCTCTTCCTATCAGACCTGACCCCACACACACACACCATTGCCCTCGGTTGTGTTAAAGTCCCCTGGACAGTGAGCAGGGGTGGCAGAGGACAGGAGCAGCCACTGCCCTTACCCCCTCTCCTCTCTGTAACCCCGGCCCTGTCCTCCCAGGGATTTGTGAGCCTTTTCCCTTGATGGTCCCCTTGCCTTCCTTCAGCCCCCTTCCCCCCACTGTCTGCTGCCCCTCTCTGGGGATTTGGTGCTTTCTTTTTTTCTTTTTTGTTTTTTTTCCCAGGGGGAGGGAGGAGAGGAAGGAGGGGAATCAAAGACTCTGTCCTAGAGAGGGAAGGAGGTGAGGTGAGATTTGAGACCGGGCAGAAGCAGGGGAGGCAGAGGCTGTACCTTCATAACATGGGGTTGTTTGGGGTCAAGCCCTAAACATCATCCTACTTGAGAATCTGTCAGGGGGAAAAAGCCAAGGGGAGCAAAAGAAGGAGCCAGGAGGGGCCAGAGGCAGAACAAGAAATGGAATCTTAGGGGGCCGGGGAAATGCGGGGATCCAGGGACTAGAGGTGCTTCCCGGGGGTTGGGGGAATGCAGCCACAGTGTCTCCCCCTTCCCTCTTCCACCCCAGCTCCAGCCCTGGTCTTTTCTTTTCATCCCTCTTCCCCACGACAGAAGCTCTGGCCCTGGCCATGTCATCGTGTTCCTGTGTCCCCTGCATGTTCCCCACCCTCCACCCCCTCCTTTTGCGCGGACCCCATTACAATAAATTTTAAATAAAACCTGTCTCTGGCTCTGGGTTGAATGAATTGCCCTCACCTAGTACCTTGTCCCTACCCCCAAGGAATTTCTTCCTGGCATGGTGTCTGTCCCAGCCTTGCTCTACCTAGTGTAGCTCTGGGCCTCTGGCTCCTCCCGTAGGGGTAGCCCTAGTGGCTGCAGCACAGATGTAGGGTGGGGCTGAGGCTCCAATGGCTGTGGAGAGCAAATTCCAGGACTCCCAGGTCTCGGGAATACCCAATCCCGACAGGCCCAGAATAGCCACTGGAGGTTTGACAAAGCCGGTTAGAAACCCAAACAGCTGCTGCTCTCCCCCGTCCGCATCCACGCCCAGAGCCGCTGTGCAGAACCCCCGCCGGATACCTGCACACCCTCAGGCCCTGAACGGTGGTGGCTGACGATGCGGCTGCAGAAAGCCTGGGGAGTCTGAGCCCTGGGACTGGGAGCAGTAAGGTGGCGATCAGAAGCTGCACTCGCCCCCCTCGTTCTTGGCATGGTCCGCCCTGTGTTTACACCGCTCCTCTGCCCCAGCCCTTTCCTGCTGCTCCAGGCTGTCTGGAGCGTCTGCTTGCCCCTTGGAATTGCCTTTTCTTTCCTTGCTCTATCCTTTCCAGGGACTGTTTCCTGAGCCTTCCAGTACCCATTTCTGCTGCTGCTTTCTCGGGGCTAGGGAGACCTGTTCTGCACGGTCCCTTCTCTGAAACCTCATCCTGCTCCTCTGCAGCCTCCCCGCATTTTGCCCCATCTCTCTCATCCTCTTTCTGCTTGTAGGGGCGCCTTCACTCTGTCCAGCCTGCCTCGCTGGTCCTGTCTCTCCACGCAGACCCCTCTCCGTTTTCCCCAACACCCTGTCTCTGCCAGGACCCCAGTGACCGTTGGCGGGAGGGGCCGGGGACTTAGCAAGGGGGCGCCCCGCAAGGAGGCGCGCGTGGGAAGGGGCAGGGAGGGGGCCCAAGTGGTCCCCGGGCCGGTTGCCTGGGTAACGCGTGGCTCCCTTGGGCTGGCCGGGAGGGGCCAGAGGCTTGCGAGGGGCGGGGGCGGCGCGCGGCGGTGGAACGTAGGGGAGGACCAGAGAGGAGGGGATGAGCAAACCAGAGTGGAGAGGTGGGGAGACCCGCCGCCTCCCTCCCTCGTTCGCTCGCTGACTTGCTCCCTCCCTGGCTGCGGCTGCTGCAGCAGCAGCTGGAGTGGTCCGGAGGCCCGCGTCGAGGTGAGACAGGGACCGACTGAGGCTGCGGGTAGGAGTGGACCGACGGCCTACGCCGGGCGGGTTGCACGGGAATGCGGGCGCCTGGCGGGCTGGCTGGTGGCGCTGGGCACGCAGCACCGTCGGGAGGAGGAGGTGCCGGCACAGCGAGGGCGAGGGAAACCCTGGAAGAGGGGCTGAGAAGGGGCTCGGAAGAGATAACCAGGTCCCCCGGAGAGGGGCGGGGGTGTCCGCGCCCCAAATGCGCAGCAAGAAAACCCACACCGCCTGGGCCCCGGGAGGAGGGGAGGATGCGGAGGGGGTGGAATGTGAGTGTTGGGTCCTCTGCCCGGTCTGCCTGTCGGAGTGTCTGGGTGTCTTGCACAGCTTGTTGATTTGGGGGTGCTGGGGCATCTGCTGGGATCTTAGAGTCTGGATCTGTTGGGTGGACCCAGGAAAGAACCCTGGGGAGGGTCCTGTTTACAAAAGGGTTAATCTTCCTCAGGGCTCTCCAAGCGGAAGACTTTATGAGTAGAGCACTTCTCCCCCAGGGATGTCCCACCCCAAGGCAAAGGAAACCCCAACTTTTCATCCTCTCTTCAGAGGCAGCCCAAAGCTGGCCTGAGACAGGAGCCTGGCCCTCTGGGGCCTACGGTGCTTTAAAGCCCCTCTGCCTTCTCCTCACACCAAGTCTATCTCCTCCTCTTCCAGGGTTTGCTGCTGTCTCTGTTATTCCATCCTCCCCCAGGGGGCCCTCACCCCTCTCAAGATGGCAGCCAGCAGCTCTGAGGTCTCTGAGATGAAGGGGGTTGAGGAGAGTCCTGGGACTCAGGGAGAAGGGCCTGGCCATTCTGAAACTGGAACTGGCCCTCTCCAGGTCCTAGCAGGGGTCCCAGACCAGCCAGAGGCCCTGGAGCCAGGCTCAGACACCACTGGGACCTCTATGGACTCAGGGCCTAAGGCTGGGCTGGCTCCAAAAACCACAGAGACCCCGGCTGGGGCCCCAGAAACAGCCCAGGCCACAGACCTCACCTTAAGCCCAGGAGGGGAATCAAAGGCCAACTGCAGCCCGGAAGAAGCATGCCAAGAGCCAGCATCCAAGCCAGAAGTGAGCGAAGAGGCCACTGCAGACCAGGGGGCCCAACTGGAGTCTGCAGCCCTGCCTGAACCAGCCTCAGAGCCTGCTCCCCTGCTAGACTCCCAGCCAGAGCCCCAGCCAGGTTCCCAGCCCATTCCCAAGCCAGATCCCCAGCCAGAGCCCCCTACCCAGGAGGACCCCACCCCTGAGGTCCTGACTGAGAGGGTAGGGGAAAAGCAAGAGAATGGGGCCGTGGTCCCACTGCAGGCTGGTGATGGCGAAGTGGTCCCAGGCCCCCAGCCTCACTCGCCACCCTCAACAAAATCCCCCCCAGCCAATGGGGCTCCCCCCCGAGTGCTGCAGCAGCTGGTTGAGGAGGATCGACTAGGAAGGGCTCACAGTGGGCGTCCGGGATCTCCCCGAGGTAGCCTGAGCCGCCACCCCAGCTCCCAGCTGGTGGGACCTGGGGTGGAGGAGGGTGAAGGCACCCAGAAACCTCGGGACTACATCATCCTTGCCATCTTATCCTGCTTCTGCCCCATGTGGCCTGTCAACATCGTGGCCTTCGCTTATGCCGTCATGGTGAGCCCCATGGGACCCTGGCCCAGGCCTGCTGTGGCTCCTAGCTTCCCTCCAGCACTAGGACAGAGCCCTAGGAATAATCATGCCTTCCATCCCCTCTCTGCATGGATTCCACTTCCCCAATTACAGGGCCTTTGCTGGCCTCTCCCTAGAACCTACCCTCTGAGCCACCACTGCCCTGGCCTTTGGGTGGGAGGGATACGGAGACAACAGGTTTTGCACAGCCTTGCTGACCTGTGCCTTCCTCCCCCTGCCTCTCCAATGCTCCTTCCTCCCTTAACCATTGTCCATGGGGCTGGCCTCTCACTTCTGGACGAATCTTTCACCTGATCCCTGCTGGGCTGGCTTCTCCTGACCCCGGCCATGGTGCCTCCACCCCTCACCCTAACCCCAGTCACGGAACAGCCTGCAGCAGGGAGATGTGGACGGGGCCCAGCGTCTGGGCCGCGTGGCCAAGCTCTTAAGCATCGTGGCACTGGTGGGGGGGGTCCTCATCATCATCGCCTCCTGCGTCATCAACTTAGGCGGTGAGTGGGGTTTGGGGACAGGCAGGGGAGGAATGGAAGGGTTGACAAGGCCAGCTTTACTAACCCCTGCCCCTGCTCTCTCCTGTCTGTCCTTACCTCTCCTTTGTCTCTCCTTGTCTCGCCCCACCCTCTCCCCTGTCTCTGTCTGCCCTTCCCTCTCCTCTCCCACAGTGTATAAGTGAAGGGCTCTGCCCTGCATTCCAAGACTTTCCTTCCTGTTGGGAGCTGCCTTGGGCCCATCCCTCTCCTGGGGGGAGCCCAATCGATGGCTCTGGCCCCCACCCCTAGGGACCAAGGGAGCCTGAGCAGCCTTGTTTACAGCTTCTTTCCTGCTCCTGCATCCTGCCAGGCTCCTCTGCCAACTGTAGGCCTCCCTTCTCCCTGCACTGTTTCCAACCTCCCTGCACTTCTGCCTGCATCCCCTCTAGCCTCTTGGCCCCCCATCCCTGCACTTCTGGAAACTTCCCTGCACTTCTGGAAATCTCCCTGAACATCTCCCAAACTCTCTCCGCTCTCAGCCTCCCTGCGTCTCTCCCAGCCTCTCCCTGCATTCTTCCAGCCTCCTGAATTCTCTGGAACGCAACCCTGGCCTCCTCCTCCCAACTTTCATTGTCTTGGCATCTTCCACATTCCTTCCTTCATTCCCTTTATCATCTCCCTCTTCCTTCTCCACAGGCCCCGCCCCCTTCATCTCCCCTTAGCATCCCCTTCTCCAGCCCTCCTGCCATCATTTATTCTGCAAAAACTCCAGCACTTAGATCAGGCTGGGGGAGGGGGAGTAGTCTCGGAGGGGCTTCCTAGCCCTGGGCTCCGACTGTTCTCTGCTGGGACCACCCAGGCCCAGATGTCCCCGGGGTGCCTTGCAGGTTGCAGAGCTGGCAAGCCAGGCCTTGTCTGGGGACTTGTGCAAGGGTGGCCAGTACTGGTTCCTAACGCGCACAGGGGAGAAAGGAGGGGCGCTGCGGTTGACCCTTGCCTGGTCAGCCTGAGTTGACCCCCCGACCTGGGCTTTTTAACCCCCACCAGTGAGTTTCTTTCTCCAAGGTGTTGAGGCTAGGGTCATTCATGTGCTTTATAAGGAAAGAATCCCCAAAAATAGGACCAAAGCTCCCACCTGCAGGGAGCGAAGGAGGGGCGGAGAGCTCTATAATTATTTTCTAAGATGACGAGGGAGGTTTGTTGCACGCGACAGCCCGCAGAGGAGGCGGGGACCCAGCTACAAGGAGGTTCCGAGTTGGCGGGTCGTTTTTTTTTTTTGTCTAAAAAAGATCGGGGAAAAAAACTGAAATTCTTTTTTAAAAGGATATATCAAACTGATTTCTCCCTTTTTGTATGCCGGATGCTGCATGAGTCTGAAACACCAATAAACGGAGACTGCATGAGACTTGCCTCCGGTCTCAGTCCCTGCGTTCGTCCCGCCAGGCCGGCGGTACTCTCTTCCGGCAGAACTTACTGGGTGGTATATACGCATGCGCAGTCCTGGTGGCCATCTTTGCTGTGGGCCGAATCCTGTTATGCCCAAGCGCCTATCTGCGCATGTGCAAGCCTTCCCTCGCTTTCCTCTTCCAAGTAGCTTTGAGTAGAGCGGAGCCTCACGCGCCATTTCTGTGCGCCTGACCTACGCAGCCCGAGAGGCGGGTCTTAGCCCCTGGTGCGAACGGCGGTTGGTTTGACGCGGCCCAGAAATACGAGGTCTGGGGAGAGGTAGCCGCGGCCAGATGTGGAGACGGGCGGTGTAAAGGCGAGAAGAGTGGGCCTGCCTCTCTCCTTCCCCTGTTTGGCTCGGAAAGTGGTGTCTGCGGGCCCCCGGGAACATCGGAGTACCAGATCTCGATCCTTGGGGCGGGGTCCTTTGAGGGGACTGAGCGCCCCCTCCTGGGGACGGGCTGTCTGACCTGGGAGACAGTTGTTGGAGCCCGATTGGTTACAGAGACATTCCCTAAACCCCTGGGGAGCCTGATTGCTGGTGGGGAGGGACCCGGCTTAGTACTCCAGCATCTCCTGTCATCGCAGGGTCCCTTCCCTAGTGGTCTATGTCCCTTGCTCGGGGTCATGGAGACACAGCGGCCACCACGGCAGCGCCTCTGTCTGAAGAAGGGGAAGTGACCTCCGGCCTCCAGGCTCTGGCGGTGGAGGATACCGGAGGCCCCTCTGCCTCGGCCAGTAAGGCCGAGGAAGAGGGGGAAGGAGGCCAGGAGGAGACCGAGCAAGAGGGGTCCGGGGCCGAGGAGGCGCAGGGAGAAGTCCCCAGCGCTGGGGGGGAAGAGCATGCCGTGGGAGAATCCGAAGACTGGTGCGTGCCCTGCAGCGATGAGGAGGTGGAGCCGCCGGCCGCTGGGCAGTCCTGGATGCCTCCGCCCTCGGAAATCCAGCGGCTCTATGAACTGCTGGCTGCTCACGGAACGCTGGAGCTTCAGGCTGAGATCCTGCCCCGCCGGCCGCCCACGCCCGAGGCCCAAAGCGAAGAGGAGAGATCCGATGAGGAGCCGGAAGCCAAAGAAGAGGAAGAGGAAAAGTGAGGCACACCCTTACACCTTGTCCCTGGGGCTACTCCCCCGATAACCAGAAGGAAATGGGGAGGGGGAAAAGGTGGGACCCAGGAGCAAGGAAAGTGAAGGGAGGGAAGGGGAGTGGGAGAGGAAGAGGTGGCAGGCTGGGGAGAAGCACCTGTGGGGATGTTTGGGAGGGTCACCTTCACCCTTCTCTTTCCACCTGTCCCAGACCACACATGCCCACAGAATTTGACTTTGATGATGAGCCAATGACACCAAAGGACTCCCTGATTGACCGGAGACGTACCCCAGGTACAAACAAGAGGGAAGAGCTGGGGGGAGGTGAAGGGCCCCTGTTCCCAGTTATCCAAAAAATGGCTCCCTTGAAGAGGCCTTTGCTTGGTGCTTCAGTTGCCACACAACTTTTAGGTGCAACAGAGAGCATTTACCCAGTGGCACCATCTTTCTGACTCAGGTTAACACTCTATCTTCTTTTAAGAGACCATCACAGATAATTCTTTCATCTTTCCCATTCCTTTTATCATATTTTCCCCAGAAATCCAAGTCCTCCTGGTCATTCATTATTATCTAGATACACATCCCTCTACTACTATGTACATCCCCTATCCAATCCAATTTCCAACCCGTATACCTTCCTAGATTTTCTCTTGAACCCATTCTTTTTTTTTTTTCTGAGATGGGGTCTTTCTCTGTTGTCCAGGTTGGTCTCAAACTCCTGGGCTCAAGCAGTTCTCCCATATCAGCCTCCTGAGTAGCTGGGATTGCAGGTGTGTGCCACCACACCCAGCTAGCCTTGGAGCCATTCTTGATTTCTCTTTCACACCAGCAGCAAGTCCCACTAGCTCTGCCTCCACATTTCCAAGTCCATCTGTGACTCTCCATTTTTAACACCATACCCCCATCCAAGCCACCATCTCTCTTGCCTGGACAGTTGCAGTAGCTCCTAACTGATCTCCCTGCTTCCAGTCTCAGCAATCAGAATGATCCTTTTAAAACATAAATCATGTCACTTCTCCACTTAAAATCCTCCAAAGGATTCCATTGCTTGGGGGAAGAGCATGTCATGGGAGAATCCAAGCCCCTCCTTGCCATCCCTCCACCCCCCCAGCTCTCTACACTCTTGTTTTTTACTTATTTATTTTTGTGGAAGATGCATGCTATGTTTGAGACCCAGGCTGGTCTCAGACTCTTGGGCTCAATGATCCTCTTGCCTTGGCCTCCCAAAGTGCTGGGATTGCTAGCTTGAGCCACTGTGCCTGGCCTACACTCTTCTTTGACCTGACCTCTCTCTTCCTGCCCTGGGGCCTTTGCACTTGCTCTTCCCTGGTCTTCATATGACTGGTGCCCCATAATCCAAGACCTTCATTCCTTACTCTGTGTCCCAATGCCAAACCTCAGAACCTCCAGGACAGAGACCTGGAAACTTGCATGTTTAACAAGCTCCCCACGTGATGAGTAAGATCCAGGGAGGTCTGGTGCATACTGCCTCAATCCCTTCCATATTTCTTACCTTCCCCTTCTCCAGGAAGCTCAGCCCGGAGCCAGAAACGGGAGGCCCGTCTGGACAAGGTCCTCTCAGACATGAAGCGACATAAGAAGCTGGAGGAACAGATCCTTCGTACCGGGAGGGACCTCTTCAGCCTGGACTCAGAGGATCCCAACCCCACCAGCCCCCCACTCCGGTCCTCGGGGAGTAGCCTGTTCCCCCGGCAGCGGAAATATTGACTGCTGCTGCTGCTTCTAGGTGTACTGTTTGTACCTGCTGGGGCCTGGGCCCTCCTTTCCCAACATAAAATGCTGGGAAACTTGGGAAGAAGAGAGAAACCCCAAGTTCCCGGCACAGCACCATGCGGGAAAGAGGGAGTATGTGTGCGTGTGTTTGTTTTCTGTTGAACTTCTAATCAGAGAGCTGGACTGAATTTTCTGAGTGTAAAATAAAAGATGCAGAGTTATCTTCTCTTAAGAGGAGGGCCTGCAACTGGAGCCTAAGCAGATTGGCCACACTTGAGAGGAGAGGCAGATTGTACAACTTATATTCACTCAGATTGGAAAATCAAAGCCAGATGGGGCAGGGATGAACTCGGCACCTGCCCCCCACTCCCTATTTCAGCCCCTCTGACCCTTCCCAGTCCCGTTCCAGCTCAGTCTGCTGCCTCTGAGGCAGAAACTCTGAGTGGATTGAGCCTTGGTGCCTTCCGCTGCAGCAGAAGCAGCCCAGAGGAGAAAATGAGAAGCAGCTGCAAGGGCCCTTTAACTACCTAAGCCCCACCCCTGGCCTGCCCGGCCCTACCCGGCCCTGCCCAACCCTGCCGGGAACTGATCCCCAGGGCAGGGCCAGAGAGTTCCCGGATCTCAGGAGCCTGCAGCTAGCCACACTTGTAGATGTGAGTATGCCATACTGGCCCCCAAACTCCATACCTGTGGCGGATCTTTGTGCCCCTTCAGGCTCTCTTGAGCTTTGTCCTGCTTTCTAGGGACTTGTTTCTGCTGAGGCAGGAAAGAGCTCTTTCTGAATCAGAGGGGGACAGGAGGAGTAGAGGCTTTGCCCTGGGAGGTTTCGCTTTCCTTGTTGGAGTTTTCTGGGTCTTGAAGCAAAGTTAGATGAACTCAACAACAGCACTCCCTTCCCACCTCCAGATCTCAGGTCTCTCTCTGACTTCAGGGACCCACATCTGCAGTAAAGTGGGGGACTTTACAACATCCATTCACACTCCATCTTGGAGCTAGATTGGTCTGTGCTGTGTTCACCTGCCCCCTCCTCCTGGGGACCTGGGCTCTGGCCTGTCACCTTGAGCACCTAGAATGTGACTTGTCCCCATTAAAACCTCTAAACTCTACCAACTGGTGAGGCTTTCCTACTGCCCCACCGAGGGCCGTGTGAACCGTGGGCCTTGGCAGATCACCTAAGTCAGAATGATCTTAAGGTGGGGCTTGATTTCCAGAAGGCATGCAGTGAGGGCAAGTTTCTTTCTTTTTAGGAGAAGGAAGTGAAAAATAGGAAACTCAGTTGGACCCACCAGTCTGTGACCCTGGGGCTCTTAGAGCTGTCACTCCAGGAGTGAAGCACTTGGGGGTGGGAAATGGTAGTTGAGGCATATGTCCCCTGTGCTCTGCCTCCTGCTTGAGTGGACCCGTGTTATGGGGGAAAGGCAGCCGTTATGTGGGATGCCAGGCTGCTCTCCCGCAAACTCCTGTCAGTTTCTGCCTTTGGCACATAGGATACCAGGCCAGCCCTGGGGTGGGGCTCTTAGGGCAGGACAGCTTTTCATAGCCACGAGCAGGTGTGGCCCTTGAGTGAATGGCCTGGAGACAGCCTGAGGGCTTCTGATTGGGTGCTCAGGCTTCCTTGCTGGGTGCTGCCCTTCCGGGTTCTAGGGGAGAGGATGGGTAGGTGCTGGCCCAGATTACAGAAAACTCTCACCCTTGAACTGCCATGGGCACTATCTCTGGGGCGGTGACCAGCCCCATCCAGATCCTTGTTCTAAGTTCAGAGTCTTCCTGATGTTTCTGCCTGAGAAGCCACTGCCTTCTGGTGTGGGGGGGCTCTGCAGTCATGGTAGCCAGGGTGGAATTCTGGCTTCATCCTTTGATAACCTGTGATCCTGAGCAAGTTCCTTAACTTCTAGGTTGTTGTGAGGATAAAATAAGTTAATTGAGAGCATTTAACACAATGCCTGGCACAGATTAAGTTCGTAGTAAGTAGGAGCTGTTGTTTGGGGTCACTTGCCCAAAATACAAGTTCCAGAGTGTCTCTGCTGGAAACCTTGACCCAGTGGGTCTGGGGTGAGGCCTGGGAGACAGCATGAGCAGGACTAAGAATCCCAGCTGAGTCCTACGATTGGGCGAGTTTAGGAAACACTGATGTAGATCAGGAGTCCTGAAGCCTGGTTCCCGGGTCACTTCCAGTCCAGGCAATCCTCGCCTTTGATGATTGGCATGGCAGCATCCGGGAGGGAGGATGAGCCAAGTCCTGGGCTGACAGAGCTGCTGCCCCTGTGAGGCCACCACGATACCCGCTCCCACCAAGTGGCCCAGTTAGGCTGGAGTTCAGACAAGATTTTCTTAGGAAGAAAGCGTCACAAAAAAATGTTCTATGTGAGACAAAATCTCAATGTCCGTTAATCATCCCCTAAAGTGGGGAATAGTTTCCTTAAACCTGGAAGCTGCCTGGTGAAAACAGGCTGTGGGCAGTCCTGAGTCAGGTGACTCTTTGTTCTCTAAACAAAGACTCAAATGTTTATCCCAAAATCGGTGAAGGAAAACCCCTCAAAGACAAGTCCCTGTGACACTGAACTTCACAGCCTTTTCCTAAGCCCGAGGTTGGCACAGGTCTGGTGGGGGGGCTGCGTCACCGACCTCACCTCCACATCAGGCCTACCTGGACCGGGGGCCCAGGAGTGAGGACAGAGGGAGCTGGTTTGGCCTGGGGAGAGAGCCGGAGGAGAATAAATGAAATTCCCTGCCCTGAGGGGTCATCTGTAATGGGAGCTCATCTTTATTCTTCCTCCTGCTGGCTACCATATGAGCTCCTTTGACTTTAGAAACAGGAAACAGGCTTATAGCCAGTAAGATGCCCAAGATGATGCTGACAGTGACAGAAACTGCTAGATTGACACTTTCCCCACTGGCTCTCAATCCTGGCTATATCTTGGCATCAGAGGGAGAGCTTTTAAAAATAGCAATGCTTGGACCCCACCCCAGGCCAATCAAATCAGAATTACCAGAGGTGGGTGGCTTTAAAAAAAAAATCTCCCGGTGACTGTAATGTTCAGCTGGGGTTGGGAGTGCCTGCTTTAGACCAGCGCTGCTCGTACTTTAGTGTGCGCTCAGTTACCAGGCATCTAGTTACAATGATGTTTGGGCTGGTGGTTCTTGCCCTGTAATCCCAGCACTTTGGGAGGCTAAAATGGGAGGATTGCTTGAGCCTAGAAGTTTGAAAGCAGCCTGGGCAACATAGCAAGACCTTGTTTCTACAAAAAATAAAAATATTGGCCAAGCACAGAGGCGTGCACCTACAGTCCCACAGCTACTTGGAAGGCTGAGGCAGGAGGATCACTTTAGCCCGGGAGTTTGGGGCTGCAGTGAACTATGACTGTGCCACTGTACTCTAGCTTGGGTGACAAAGTGAGACTCTGTCTCAAAAAAAAAAAAAAAATGCTCATTGATTCAGCAGCTCTGGGGTGGGGCCCAAGACTCTGCATTACAAACAAGCTCTGGGTGGTGCCATGCAGCTCGCTGCTGACCACACACACAACACGGTCACTTTGGCATTTGCTATTTAAGATTCACTGTGTCAGCCACTCAATTGATCCTGAAGATATGTAATGATTCATGACTCATTTGTTTATTAATTTTTGCTGCAGTGTAAATTTTACTTTTGAGTCAAGAGTCTGGAATCAAGAGCCTCTCCTCTAAATGGAGGGTGAACCCAGCTTTTGCTTGGACGGGCAGTTTAGTTCTCTGTCCGTCCTCCCTCGTTGGGGGAGGGGCACACTGGTGAGACTTTGGGTGAAAGTTGGTGGTTCTTAGAGGAGCCTCTTGACATTTGAGGAAGCTGTAATCTGGCAAGATGGGACATATATACCGAGGGATGACTAGGGCTCAGACCTCTGAAGCAGAAACTGAAGAGAGATGGTGGGTGGGTAAGTGAGTTTGGGGAATTGAGACCAAACCTAAGGGCTGGGCAGGACCTTACAAAGGTCAACACCATCCTTAACCATTATCTTTTGAGGGCCCTGTCATATTGGAAGTAAAACGCTCTAACTGTACACATCACCTGAAAACCACAAAAGTCTGAATCTGGGACTTGTCACACACACACTGCCTGAGTCAGATGGTTTCCCTGGCTCACCTTGTGGATGGCAGGAGTGGAAAGGCAGGACCTGTTCTGGGTGAACTTGGCAGGTCTAGGCGGAAGGCCCAGTGCTAGGGCCTGGCAGGTGGGTGGTCAGGAGATAAAACGGGCCTGGTACTGAAGCAGGCACAGTTGGCAAGGGCCTGGCCTCAGAGCAAGGCAGGAGCCCCGCCATGAGGATGACTCTCACTGAGTCACTGAGCTGAGTCCAGCTGGGGTGGCAGATGGTGGAGAGGCCTCAGCCGCCGGGGTGCAAGGGATCATCCAACAAGGAGCCAATGGGGGCTGTTCCTGGAGCCTTGCATGGCCTTCTAGAGTTTGGTGTTCCCTGTGGGGCCTTAGAGCCCTGTCCATACCTCCGCCTACAGCTCTAGCCCTTCCTCTTCCCCCATCTGGTTTCCTGGCCAGGCTTCCACCCTGCAGAGAACCTGGCAAAGGGGCCACTGGAAAAGGCTTCTGTTGGCTGTTGGATGCTCCTATTTGCTGTTCTAGCCCCACAGCTGGGATGACCCGAGACTTGCCATCCTCCGGACCAGTAAACAAGGGAGGGTTAAGCCAGGATGCCAGGTGGGTTAGGGAGCCTCCCAGGCTAGTCACACTCCCTAGTCCCTCGAAGGATGGGAAAGTTGGGCCTCAGGCACTGTTCCCTCTGCAGCAAAGCACAGAGTGCTATGAAGAGCCAGGCTCTATTCTGGGTGCTTGCTGTGTTAACTCCGCCCTCACGACCTGGGGAGATGCTGTTATCCAGTCCTGTTTGGTAGATGAGGAAGCAGGTACCCAGAAGCGAAGGAATTTAAGGTGGCCCATCACACAAGGGTTAGAGCCAACATCTAGGCAGTTCCAGCCCTGCGGATATGTGGAAGGGGCCCTTCCAGAACAGAGCCCCACATCGTGGAGCAGCTGGGGAGTGGAGGCGAAGCTGAGCATGATGGTGGGTGGGTGGGGGAACAGCCAGGAGATCAGAAAGCCAACCCCTGGCGCTCAGATGATGAAGAGGGAGCCGTGACACTAGAAAAGCCACCCTCCTACAAGTTAAGTTGCTCATAAAAATGAGCAACAGAAAAAGTATCAAGGTCAAATTCCATACAGAGTTGCAAGATAAAACCATGAGGAGCAGAATGACATCCTTCTGGTGTGGAAAAGGGACCGGGGAAAACAGATCAAAACTGTAACTTTTTTTTTTTGAGACAGAGTCTCACTGTGTTGCCCAGACTAGAGTGCCGTGGCGTCAGCCTAGCTCACAGCAACCTCAAGCTCCTGGGCTCAAGCGATCTTCCTGCCTCAGCCTCCCGAGTAGCTGGGACTACCGGCATGCGCCACCATGCCCGGCTAATTTTTTCTATATGTTTTTAGTTGTCCAGTTAATTTCTTTCTATTTTTAGTAGAGACGGGGTCTCGCTCTTGCTCAGGCTGGTTTCGAACTCCTGAGCTCAAACAATCCGCCCGCCTCGGCCTCCCAGAGAGCTAGGATTACAGGTGTGAGCCACCGCACCTGGCCAAAACTGTAACTTTTTTAAATGATGTGAGACACTAAGGAAACAAGGCGAGAAAACAGCAAATCAGAGTTGTAGCACAGGCAGTTGGTGTCTGCCCCTAACCACCGTGCAGTGCTGCCTTTTGAGAAACATGGCACCGGACGTGCCATCAGGGTGCTAGTCATAATGGTACCACCCACTCGCTGTGTGGCCCTCAAGGACTCATTGTCCCCATCTGGGTCTTGACTACTTAGAGCCACCCTTGGCTATTTAAATTAAAATTTATTAAAATAAATGTAGTCCCTCAGAGGCACTAGCTACATTTCAAGTGCTGAGTAGCCACACGTGGTTAATCCAAAGACAGCACAGGTTTAGAATATTCCCGCCAGTGCAGGAACCCTATTGGATAGTACTGAGTTAGAGCGTTTTAAACAGGAGCCTGGCAGGTGACGTGAGTGTGCTGGCCCAAGTGTAAGACAGTAGGGAGTGGTGGGGACTGTGGTAAACAGGGAAACTGTGTCCCATCTAAAGGGGACAGCTGCTTGGCTCTTGCCAATTCTGCCACACTGGATGAGGGCCCAGTGTTGTGTTGCTGGTCTCCTACTTCCTCAAGAGAAGCAGGGATTGGGAGTTTGTAAAAACTCAAAATTTCTAAACAAAAAAAAAAAAAATGAAGTTTTACAGATCGTGTAGATCAGGTAAAGCTCTTCTCTTGGGCCTCTTCCAGCCTTGATTCTGTGACCCGTGGCTCCTGCCTGTTCTTCCTGTGCCAAGCCACTCCGTTTGGCTTCTCACCACCGTTTCTCACCCAGGTTGGGAGCTGGGTGGATGGTGGAGTGGACGAGGAGCCACTTCTTTCTGTTGGTGGCCTCAACAATGTCTGGCCTGCGGCCAAAATCTCAGAGGACGAGGTTCTGAGGCACCTAGTAAACTGTGTTCCCTTTGTATGACTCAAAGGGACATGTCCGAAGTTCAAGGGATGCTGGAGGCAGGGATGGGGCTTAGGTGGAGTGTGCGACACTCCTGAGCGGGCCGAGCACTGGTTGAAACCACCCAGGACCCTGAAGAAGGCAGGTGGGGCGGGCGGAATACAATAGTCCTTTGCCTCCTTTCCCCTTCCTCTGCCCACACCCCTTCCCCCAACAGCAGGGAGTGGAGGGTGACAACAGACCAGAGAGAACTGGGGAGGAAAGGGCTGGAATGATCTGCGGTGTTACTACTCGAGCTGATTCTGTGGGAGGTCAGTTGTCAGGGGTCCCTTTCACAAGAGGCGGACCAGGTCTTAACAGTTCACCCCCTGATTGCAGGATTGCAGGTAGCACAGGCGGCGGGGAAGGGTGCAGACAAAGGTCATGCAAATATTCTGAGGCTGTGGGCTGACATTTGAATACAGCCTGGTCCTCAGTATGCCCTGAAATAAAGCTGCCTGCTGGGGAGGACCCAGAGCGCCTGAGAGCTGCACCGCGCCACGGTGTGCTGCTCAAGGCCACGCTGCTGCCTCCATGGGCTCCCCTGCTCTGCCAGCTCGGTGTGTTTCTACACCTTAGAGACCGGGAACACTGTGATCTAAAGCCCTTTCCAGGGCTGCAGGCAGTTTAAGGGGAGGTAGTTGATGGGAGTGAGGGAAAGGAATTGGCAAGGAACCCTGGACTTGACTTCTGTGCCTAACTGCTGCCAGCAGTTCCTGGCAGAACTGAGGTGTGGATGGGCCACGTCCTCCTGGGTGGGAAGACGGAAGGGAGAGGCGGGCATGGGACAGGGAAGGGTGGGGTAATCTGAGCTGGGGAAGGAGGGACTGTACCCCACCCGCAGCCTGCCTTGTCCCAGGCCCTGCACTCATCTGTTGTGTCCTCTCCCTCACCTGTCTGTCATCCTCTGGTTAGCCCTGGGCTTGGGAGTCACCATGGCAACTGAAGAATCCATCATCCGCATCCCCCCCTACCACTACATCCACGTGCTGGACCAGAACAGCAACGTGTCCCGCGTGGAGATCGGACCAAAGACCTACATCCGGCAGGACAATGAGAGGTGGGTGTGGGGCCTGGGCCATGGGACTTGTTCCTCTGCTGGCATGATTGTCCTCCTCCCTGCTCCCAGGCAGGAATGGCCCTCGCTTAGGCGACAGGGAGGTTTCTCTTGCATTTGTTGCCTCCTTTGGGAGTGGAGACCTGAGTCCCCTGGGTCCTCATACCTCTTCTCATCCTCCAACAGGGTACTGTTTGCCCCCATGCGCATGGTGACCGTGCCCCCACGCCACTACTGCACAGTGGCCAACCCTGTGTCCCGGGATGCCCAGGGCTCAGTGCTGTTAGACGTCACAGGGCAAGTACGACTTCGTCATGCTGATCTGGAAATCCGGCTGGCCCAGGAGCCCTTCCCCCTGTACCCAGGGGAGGTGCTGGAAAAGGTACTGGCCTCCTGTGCCCCATCCTGCCTGTCCTTGTCCTAGGGCTCTGTGCTGCCTTTTGAAGGGAAAACAAATGGGGCAGTGGGATGGTGTGGGGAGGGGCATTTGCTGCCTCCCACCAGGGGCAGAATTGATTTATTGTCCCTCCACTCACATGTGCCCCAAGCAGACTCACCCCTCTTCTGAGAACTGACTGTCCCTCTCGCCACCTGATCTCCCAGGCTCCAGAGCCTGCCAGAAGCACCCAGCCAGTCTGGCATTAAATGAGTTGTGCCAAGGTTAGGCACTTCATGCACTCGGTGCCGGACCCTGGTGGGCAGTGCCAAAGCAGCAGTGGACAAGAATGGTGGATTGATTAAAACACTGACCCTTGGCTGGGCGCGGTGGCTCACGCCTGTAATCCTAGCACTCTCGGAGGCTGAGGTGGGCTGATTGTTTGAGCTCAGGAGTTCGAGACCAGCCTGAGCAAGAACGAGACTCCGTCTCTACTAAAAAAATAGAAAGAAATTAGCTGGACAACTAAAAATATATAGAAAAAATTAGC